ATCACTTCATTCCTCAATATTTGAGTCTACTCCTGAAGGCAAGCAGTATAGCATAAATATTAGTATATATAGAAGGTTTGCAAAGACTCTACGAGCTTGACTTTGAACTTTAGTTTTTGCCAATTTTACGTCATCTCAAATCCAAACAGAATAGTATAATTTTTTTTGATATTTAGATTAGATTTAAAATTGTACTAGAAAGGTTATAACAATTTGGTTGATTTTAGCTTCTGAAGCATAAATTTTATAGCAAGGAGTATGATAACGAAATTGAGTACTGTTGTAATTTTTAGACTTGAATTTTATAATATGGATTCGTATTGCTAGAAAGGCTATAGGCCTATGATTGAAAGTTTTTCTAGATACTTTTTGAATTCTAACCTTAAGACCTCAAATTTGTCCTACTTATAACATATCTTTGTAAGCTCATTAAAATTCAAGTTTTACTTTAACATTATGAAAAATTTTTATATCAATATGATGCAGCTTCTTTTCCTATTAAAGAACTTATATTAGATGTAAAAATAAGATAGAATTCTACTTATAATATGATTAAACATAGTTTTGAATTATGTGAGATTAGTATTTTAGATTTATTATTATAATTAATTTATAAAAATTTATTAATAATTATTATAATATTAAAAATTTTAGATAATATAAGAATATTTAAATGAGAATTAAGATTATATGTTTTAAATGATTTTAAATAAATTTATTAAAAAAAATAAAAAATTTATTAGAAGTAAGAAATAATATAATTAATTGTATTATAATAATATTTTTTTTTTAATTAATTTATTAAATTTATAGTATTTTGTATAAGTAACAAAATATGTTTCACATAAAAGTTTTTTAACTTTAATAATTACAATACTAATTTATAATTAGTTAATAAATATGATTGAAAATTTTTAAATAAAAATTTTAACAACAGAAATAAATACTAGTACTGCAATAGCATTAAAAAATTAAAAAATATTATTGTCATATAAATTCTAATGCTTATCCTATTACTACTAGTAAGTTTTATTTTTTTATTTATTAATTTTAATTATAAATTATTAATTTATTATTATTGATTTATAGTACTTGATTCAAGATTAAAATTATTATATTATATTAATAATCATTAGAAAGTAAATTTTATTGAGAAATCATGTAAAATTTTTACTTCTTATTTTAATATGCATTATGCACTATTGATGATAGATTTAAAAATTCAAATGAAAGTTCTAAAGATAATGATTTATTAAATTATATATATAAAAGATAATATAAATAGTACATTATTTTAATGCTTTACTTATACTTTTAAAAACTAATTTATTATAATGATGGAAAATAAATAATATATTTTATTAATAATTTCATATTATTTTTAAGCTTATTAATTTTTTTAGTTAAATGAAACATAATATTCTTATTTAGTAAAAATGTCAAAAAATATTTTAGCTATTTCAGGTGAATAAATTTAAAATTTATAAAACTTTTATAATTTTAATTTAATCAATCTAATTTATTTATATTTATTTTTTAAATTATTAGTATTCTGATAAAAAAAATATTTTCTAAAAAAACTAATCTAATTATATAAAAAAAAATATAATCTATCAGCAGAAATAATTAAAGTATATATGTGTTTTAAATCTTAGTAGAAAATTATTTTAAAGAAAAAATAAAATTTTTTATTTTGTACTTTTTATTAAAATAAATAATTTTTTTTATGATTTTGATTTAAATAAAATAATATATAAAATTTACAATATAATATAATTTAAATTAATTTATTTATATTTAAATATTTATAAATTAATTTAAATTTGACTCAAAACTTGATTTGAAATTGATTTAACTTAAATAAAGTTAAGTTAAAATCAAGTTAAGTTAAATTCAAGTCAAATTAAATTGAGTTGAGTTTAAAATTTATATAACTTGAATCAAATCAAGTTGAACGATTTAATAAAATAAAATAAACTCAACTCAACTCAACTTAAAAAAATAAGTTAATAGAGTTGATCTTTAAATTTAATTCAACTAGAGCTCTGAATCAGATTAGGTTAATCTACAGAGGGTGGACAAAAGTATCTGCATACTTTTCACTCAATATAAAACATAATTTTTTTGCATTAACAATAAACGATCAATTAATATTTTATTTAAAGTTGATTAAGATCTACATTTTGTATTAAGTAACTAGTATTTAGTTATGCTACTATTTATTGCAATTATAGTTTAAATTCGTTATAGCATATTATTGATTAAGTTTTGATAGTATGCTTCAGAATTTCTTGCCAAACCTTTTTAACATATCAGTTAAATTAGATAGAGGTTTTTTATAAGCTTAGTTGTTTTTCTTAAATTTAGCCTAAAGATTCTCAATTGAATTAAAATCAGGACTTTGAGCTGACCAAGATAATGTATAAAGATTATTTTTCGCTTGAAAAATCATTGCAGTTAATTCTTTAATTTTTACCATTTTTTTTAGATTATCAGAGAAGAAAAATTTATTAAAAAAAAAATAAATTGTTATTCTTTTTCTTTTTATAATATAAATAAACACTTAAGTATCATTTAAACACAATTTATTATTACAATCATATGATTTTACTAGCATTAATTCACGTTATATAGGGTGTGCAAATACTTTTGTCCACCCTCTGTATTTAGCTGATCTGACTTGATCTAAAAATTCAGATCAGGTCAGTAAATTTTTAGGTTAATGTCAGATTAGATTAACAGATTAACCTAATCTGATAAAATTCAGGTGAACTAATTATTATTTTTGAATAATTTTTATCATTTAAAAATGAATATTTTATCATTTGAGTATGATGTTTTATTATTTAAGTATTATGTTTTATCATTTGAGTATGATAGTTTATCATTCAAAAATGATGATTTTATCATTAAATTAGAATGATTTATTATTGTTTAAAAATGATGTTTTATCATTTAAAAATATTATTTTTATCATTCAAGAATGATATTTTATCATTTAAGAATGATGTTTTATCATTCAAGAATGATGTTTTATTATTTAAGAATAATATTTTTATCATTCAAAAATGATATATTATCATTCAAGAACAATGTTTTTATTATTTGAGAATAATAATTTTATTGTTTAATTAGAATAATTCATTATTATTCTTAAATAATATTTTTATTATTTAATTAGAATGATTTGTTATTATTTTTGAATAATATTTTATCATTTGAGAATAATGATTTATTATTCAAAAAATGATGATTTTATTATTCAAGAATGATAATTTTATTGTTTGATAATGATAATTTATCATTTGAGAATGATGTTTTATCATTTAAGAATAATATATTTATTATTCTTGAATAATATTTTTATCGTTTAATTAGAATAATTCATTATCATTCTTCTTGAACAATAATTACTTTTTCTTCTTAATAATTTTGATCAGATCAGATCAAGTTAAATGAAAGTTTAAATCAGGTCAGATTTTTGTTTGACTTTATCTGATCTTCTCAATTCAGATAACTTAATTGACTTGACCTAAACTGACCTATTTAGAGTTCTAGACTCAATTTAACTTATTTGAAACTCTAATATTTTTAAAATAATAAATCAAGATCAAAGTATTTTATATAAGTTAGCTACTGAAATAATTAATTAAGTAATTTATATAATAAATTAATTATTTTAAACTTTAAAGATTTGAGTAAAATTATATATGTAAGAGTAAACTATATTAATTATTATTTTCATATTTTAAGTTGTGTAAAAAATAATATAAAAGTATTACATTAAAATTTTAAATAATACAAAAGTTAGCTTTAACTCAACTTTTTGAATATTTTATATATTAAATTATATGTTATTAAAATTTTGATTTTTTAGTTTTAAAGATTTAAGCAGAATCACATATATATAGATGAACTGGACCAATTATTATATTTTCTAGTTTAAATTTTATAGAATATAATATTAAAGTATTATAATAAAATTTTAAACAATACAAAAGTTAACTTTGAAACAACTTTTTGAATATTTCATATATTAAATTATATGTTATTAAAATTTTAATTTTTTATCTTTAAAGATTTAAGCAGAGTCACATATGCATATATGAACTGTGTTAACTATTATATTTTCTAGTTTAAGTTTTATAGAATATAATCTTAAAGTATTATAATAAAATTTTAAATAATACAAAAGTTAACTTTAAAATAACTTTTGAATATTTCAAATATATATTATAATTATATTAATTTTAGTAAAATATTACTTCTAGTATAACTTATTCAATTATAATTATATTTCGATAAAATTTAATATATTATTTGATTATATTAAAATGCAGCTACTTGTAAAAATTTAATATACATTATTATGTAGGATTTCTTATCAAAGTATTTTTATATATGATAAAAATGAATAAATAATCAATAAATTGATTGACAAAATGTGATAAAATTAAGCATATCCAATATACTGTATTTAACTATATTGTATTTATAAAACTAAACATTTAAAATTTTTGAATTTATAGCAACAGATAATTGGAAAAAATATTCATTATATTTTAAAATGCTATTTTAAACATCCTTTAAACAAATTATTTGTTAATTTAAATCTAAATCATTATAAGTATCAGCCAATAATGATAATAATAATATAGCAATTTGGATTAAATTAGCTTAATTTAAAAAAAAATGGATTTTTTAATGAAGAAAAGACATTTTAAGAATTAGCATTATTAATGATACAAATACAAGAAAAAAATAAAAAGATAACAGGTTTTTATTATTTAGAACACTTAAAATAATTTTTTAATCTATTATCAAGAAGCAGCTACAAATATAAAATTTTTAAATAAATGCTTGCAAGAATAAATATTCAATCAATAAGATATTGGAATAAAAGAAGTTAACATTATAACTAACCTAGATTAGTATATGAAAATATACTTAAATTTATTTAATTAATTAAAATACTTAATTGAAATATATTTATTATTAAAATGATAGATTGTATAAAAATTCAATCTAAATTTACTTATTTAGGTGAATTAGAAGGTATCATTAGATTGACTTTAAAATTATCAAAAACTTTAATTAAAATATGACAAAATTTATGATATTATAAATAATATAAAATAAAAAAAAAAGCTATTGTGATATAAGTTAAAAAAATAATATTAAAAGTATAAATTAAATATAATTTTAAATATTAATTGATTAATAATATATTTATATTTTAAATATTTTTTTTAGATTCCTATTGAAAAAATTTTATCTCTGTAATCTTTATATTACCAATAAATAGAAAATATAATACTACAGAGATGTATGATCTTTTAATAAATGTAATAACTATGTTACAAGATACTAATATTAATTTAATTAGTTTAGGATTAGGTAGTGCTTTTATTGAGTATAATGCATAAGAATTAATAATGAAGAGTGGAAAAATTGAAACTTTTTCTAAATTTTATAATAATTATTATAATATATATTTTTTAGATAATTATGATATAATAAAATTATATGATTTTAAAAAACTTAATTAATTAAATAAATTAATATAATAGATACTAATATATTAGATTTTATCCATAATAACTATGTAAGATCCCAAACATAGTAAAAAAATAGCTTACAATTAACTTTATTTAGATGTAATATTACTTGTACTTGAAAATAATGTAATTCTTTATCAATATCTTTTAATTCTTACTTAATCTCTAAATCATGCACTTTATATTCAAAATGTTTTAAATATTAATAAATAAGATGATAGAACTATATATAGAGTATTTTATTTAGATATATTAGTACAAATACATCAAGCTAATTTAGAAAATAATAAAATGCAATCTTTATTCATTTATCTGTTTATACTAGGTATATAAATAGTAAAAGTTTATTTTATAATTAATTATTTTATATTTATTATAATAAATTTTTTTAAATAGGAGATCTCTTTGATTTATATCTAAATAATAATGTTTGCTATAAGAAAATAATTGTAATAATCATGTGTAAATACTTTTTTTTTTAAATATATAAAAATGCTAGTAAATTATATAATTTAATATTTTCTATTGCTAAGAACTTTATTTCCCCACAAAGTTTTAGAATTTTTATTAGTTTAATAAAATCTTTAATACTTTTAATTATATCTCATTATGAATTTTATTTATTATACCCTTTATATCTTAAGAACATAATACAGAAGCTATAGAATATGTATTTAGTATATCTCATTAAATAATAAATAATTTTTTCTTTTATAATTTATTAAAATTCAACAATGCATAGCATATCAGAATAAAATTATTAGACAAATTATGGATATTCAAAGGAAAAATATCAGTATCAAGTAAATTAATATACTAATATATATCAAATTTTTGTAAATATAATTAATTTATTAACTATTTATTAGAATATATATTTGATTTGATCCAAATTCTAGATTAAATAAATATATTGATATTTTACAAATATAGCTAAATGATAATACTATTTATGATGCAATCAAAATAAATCAGGTTCTGAGAAATTTTTGACTTAAATTAAGAGCTTAATATATTTTAATCTAATAACATCAAAAACTAAAATGCAATAAAAATCTCAATTTTTTTAAAAAATTCACAGAACCTAGCAATCAACCCATATGATAATGCAGCTAAATTAATTAAAATATTAGGAATTAAATTATTAAATGATAAATCAATTCCTTGTTTTTATGGTTTAACATCATATCAATCAATAGCAATTTTTGATATCTTAAATAGTGATCTTTATAATTCCAATATAAATGATATTAGTGGAATTGATTTTGATAATAATAATAATAATGGATCTAATTTGGATGAAGAAAATCCTTCTTTAATCAATGCAGCTTTAGAAGTGGCACAATTATCAGAATTAGCAGATTTTGAACGAGAAACAATTGAATTAGAACAAGAACTGAGCTTTCAGATTTGTCAAAAATGAAATTGAATTATATTTTAAAATATTTCAAAACAATTTTTTCAAGAAATTGAATTGGAAAAAAATGAATTTTTTATACAGATAGCTTAATAAATATATCACAAATAATTCAAATTCGTGTATCACATAATGCATTTTTACGATCTGAACGATCTTGTCAATTCGTAAACTAAATGCAATTCAATTATCCGATATCAAAAAAAAAAAATGAAAATTCTGCAAATTTACTAGTTTCAGAATTTTTCCAAAATAGTGATACTTTTGAACCAACAATTAGATCAAAGAATGATGGATAAGAAGACAAAAAATTGAGAATATTAGATTACCTCAATATATTAAAGGTATGATATATCTTGTGAATTTTTAATTTTTTATTATATTTATTTATTATTTTAAACAATAGTTTCAAATCTTTCTCGCGCAAATGTAACTGATAACAATTCATTACAAGAAAATGATTTTATTTTATATATATCAAGAGAAGAGATATTACTAGGGAAAGTATTATCGATGTATAAATCAGTATCTAAGCGTCATGCTTATATTTCTACTTCAAAAGATATAGATTCTTTATCTTATATTTCAGTTGCTACATTTATCAATATTGATGGCAATTTATTTTCTCTGGCAAGTAAATCAGGTGGCAATTTATTTGCACATATAACACCAAAACAAGTTATTTATCACTTTGATAATAGCTTAAATATAATTTATACAGACTCAACAATTACTAATCTAATTGGTCGTATATGCTTAATAGGAAAAGCATATATAACTAATACTTTAGTAACAATTCTTAATTAGCTAATGAGATTTTTTTTTGCGCGATAACTGTATTTTGGTATAATAAAATTCTTTATATAAAAAATAATGTTGTTTTTTATTTTGGGTAACGTTACTAATAATTTTTTAGCTTAAAATGGGTAAAGACAATAGTGAATTTCTCGAAATTTAAAACAACCTCTATATAGAGTTTCCGGGGTCCTGGGCGGACTCACTAACAAATTTATTAAGTTGCATAGTATTTAACAGTCCTCCGCTGACTAATAAGCGACAACTTGTCTCTTTTGCTCAATGGCATATGAATTGCATCGTTGTTTAACTATTTTTTTTATTAACAGCACTTAAACGTTTTTTTTGAGACGGCATTTGTGTAAATTTTTATCAACGAGTTCGCGCGTGATTAAATTTAATCGCGATATTATAATATGTTACACGAGCGATATCTATTAGATTTGGCGCAACTTTCTTTAGTATTCTTAAACTATGACCGAATAGGTCAGTCTTTTTAATCGACAGTTTCTTTTTAAATTTTTATTTTAAAAAGGTACCCGAAATTAAACAAAAAAGGTTTTCTAATTTCGGAACGGTACGGTATATGTAATTCATTAAGGCGCGCGCATAACTTTACTTATTACAACAAAGGTAATTTAATAAATAAATAAAAAGTTTAATTTGAAATAACATTTTATCGATTTTCTAAATTTAAGTGCAGTTGATAACTCACTGACATAACATCCTTTTTCAACAACTACCAGCTAAAAAAATCTAATTTATTATGATAATTCGGTTGGTGCTAAATTATTAAAATTCCGACCAGTATATTTTGTACGTTAAAAAAAACAATTTTTATCTTTAAAAATATATATATATATATATATATACTTTTATATAAAACAGATGGATAATGCATGCAGCCAAAATAATATAACTTACAAGATTTTTGATTGGAACTTCATAGGAAAGATTAATTATCCTTCCTTTATAAGAAATTTGTGTTCAAATTACAACTTAAGTTTCTACTCTACTGCTTAATAATCCTAATGATTCTTCTTCTAAATTATCTTTTTTAGGTTTTTTCCAAAGACAAAACATACCGCGCCTAAGAATATTTAATAATTCATCTTTCATGGCAAAGATCCAGGGTTTCGAACTTGATATTCTATCAGTTCTTAATCGATGAGAACTATCAATACAAGAGAACACACATACCTTTATATGAAATATATATACATATATATAAATTGTTATTTTTTTGAAGTTTACTATAGAAAAACTGTGATTCACTTACAATTATTGAGGTTAATACGCCTAATGCTGTAGACGCAGATATCATGAACATGATAATCTGTTGATATCTAACGGCAACCATTATAGGTGCACCACTAATAATTTGACCAGTCATCATACCTATGAAAAATTAATACTTAGATAAAGGAATTAAAAATTTGTAATTAACACATTAAATTACCTGGAATGGAAATCAAACCGATAATACTGAAAGTTTAATACGATAGATTTAGTAAAAGGTTTCGAATTTAATAAGACATGGACTAGGAGTTACCTCATTGAATTGATTGTAGGCAACATGGCTAATCTTATCGCCTCGACTGCAACTGGACGACCAGCTTCCCACCGAGAAGCACCAAATGACAAGTACAGTTCTAACTTTTCTTTTTGTTCACTAGCATAAGAACAAAATTAATAAAAGAAACAGAGTGAACGATGCATCACGTGACACGATTAAATACCTGAATTGATTAAGAGCATAAGAAGTACCAACAGCTATTGCAGACATACCATTCCCAAGAAGCATACCCATTGTTGGTATGAATATTCGTGGATTCCAAAATTCTTTTTGATCCAAAGCGTATCTCGACCCTTTATTAACGAGAAATGTTGATGATTATGTAACAAATAAAAAAATAAGTATGATTGAATACTAAATATCTTTACCAATGGTACCAATTACCAAAGTACTTAGTCCCAGTGAAAGAAGGACTGATATGAACTATCAAATTTACGATCATGATATATCGTTAATAAATCCTCTTAATCAGAATCACAAATGCAATTTCGTGATATATACCATTCCGGAATGCCTCCTCTTGCTCTTGTGAAGTACGATCTCATTGGCGCCGAGAAAAACAAGAATAACTGAAAATCAGATAAAACAAATTTAAAAAAGTCCTAAACAATAAAATATATTATTTAACTTGTTTGACCTACATATCATTGCTAGAACAATAAAAGGATTATCTGCCTTGAAAACATCTTCAAGAACTAAACCCTAGTTATAAAATCGGATAAATTTACAAGTAATATTTGATTATAAATAAATAAATTTAAAAAAAAATGCATCCAACCATTAAGGTCAACTGTACAACACATCGAACCGAGCTGACAAATAAAGATGCTTCTAAATGCAAACCAAGCCATATAGAAATTATGCCTAACGAGAGTTACAAGCGAGAATCAATATTTATTTATATATGATCAGAGACTAAAGAAAATAATAATGCTGTATACCGTTGATTATTATAAACGTTGAAGCTATTCCTACATGATACCAATGGAGTGTAGATTCAACTCCACCGGTTTCTTGATAGCAATCACTATTAGTCGAAGCTCCATAAAAAAATGACGGAACGTTGGTACCAAATATCATTATGTAGACGAATTTCGAAAACTAGATTTACCAAGTGAAAATCATAAATTATTTAAACAAAAACGCGATCATTTAGCCCTGTTCATTTCTGGATCGGATCGCTCGGATCGGCAAAATCAATAACCAATAAATCGTAGCTATTATTGTGTACAATTTTTTTGATCGGATCGATAGTTTTTTTGTTTCATTGGCTTTTAAAAATTCTATTAAAAACCATTTTAGCAAAATTTGACTTATTCTTATTCTTTTGTAACTAGAAAATTCTCTTCAAGAAAATTTATCAATAATTTTGTATTTCCATCATTCCAGCCTTCTTCTTCAGATTGAGAAGCATTATTAGAAGTGTCTTTTTTACACTTTTTTTTAAAAATTTTTGGTTTAGCGGGTGTTGGAGTAGTATTAGTAGTAGGTTCGATCGGTGGTAATGAATTAAAAGTGAGTTGGAGGTTGTTACAGCTATAATGTCTGGATTTTTGTGGTTTTGGGGCAATTGAACAAAAGGTAGAATTTGAGTTAGACATTTTAAATTAAACGCGACAAAATTTTTTTAAAAAAAAATTGCGTTTATCGTTATCTTATAAAATCAGCTAATCTGAATTAATTTATTAAGGTAAGTTGATCGTGTTGATCGCCACCTGAGGCTATTTTTGTCTAGATCAGACTGGATCGACTAAAAAAAAATAGCCAATCATATCGAAGGTACAATTTTTCTTTGTCAAATACCCACTAAAAATTGGGTGTCGTTGAAAAAAAATATGTTTAGTTATACTTAAAATTAAAAGATGTAATAATATAATTCTATATTTATTTACCCATTCTTCTTGCACAACTCTAATTCTTGCTTGGATTTAGGCAATGGTAATCTCACAAAGGATTCAATTGGATTTAGTTCTGGACTTAGCGCACTCAAACTAATACTGAAATTTCATCCACCAAACTATATAGATGTATGAATGAAACCCGACCTTGTTAAAATATCATATTTGGATTATTGCGAATCCATGATTTGCAAGAACATTGATATATTTTCGTTAACAACTACTAGTTAAACAATCTCAGAACATCACCAAACTTTAATGTAAGTTGAATGCAATAGTTAATATAGGCTTTACCAACCCTAGACATATTATTCATCAGGCCATACAATATTTTTCATTCCTCTTGCCAAATCATTTTATTTTACACCGGTTTAATCTATCAATTTGATTCTTTGAGTTAATAAAGGTTTTTTTTTGAAACAATTTTAAATTTTATATTATATAGATATATAGATATTTGCGAATTGTATTATTAGAAAGATCATTATTTAGCTGACTTGTAATTTTACCAAGAGAAGCAAATCTATCTTTATAAATAATATTTTATAAAAAAAACATTTTCAGTAATTAGATAATGTTTTTGATCAACCTAAATATTTATTAGAATATGAAAAACTAGTTTTTTATAACAATTAATTGTGCAAAGTTCATTATAATTCTATGCAATATGAAAATTTTTCAGTAATATGAATAATACAAGAACTTCTCTGTCTAAGCTAATCATGTTAATTTAAACAATTTTATTGTTATGAAATTATTACTTTTTTCTGTTCACATATACGGTTATCACTAATAATATTTTTGCAATAATAAGTATTATACAATTTGAAAGGAAATATAAAAATTAGATAAAATTTTAATCTATTAGTATCAGTATGGTAAGCATCAATTATTCATTCTTATTATTTGTTTATTAATTCTTTTTAAGCATAGAAAAATTAAAAAAAAACAAGTATTTATTTATAATACTTATAATTGTATTTATATCTAAAAAGAGAATAATAACAATTCTTAAAAAATTTTTAAATAATCATAGTGGTTAATTTCTAATAATTTATTAGTTAGTTATGATTTATGTTTATTTTAAAATATAATAAATATATTATAACTAGCAATTTTACCTGAATGATGCCTTAGAATCACTTTACGACAAAAAAGTGTAAAGTTTTAACAAATTTAAAGATAAGTTAGATTTGGTTTAATTGAATTAAAATTGAAATTGGAGTTAATTTGAATTAGGGTAAAAAGGTGTTTAAAATATCTAATATTATATTATAAAATTATAATAAAATAAAATATAAGCTTTCATTTTTATAAAATAATATAGTTTTGAATTTTTTGAAAAAAAATTTTTCATCATATGTCATTTATCATTTATAAAGGGTTATGACAAATATAATTTTATCATATGACTTAATTTAGATTAACATTATAAATTAAATTCTATAAAAGGTAATTGTCTTTATTTTTCTAAAACTTAAAATGGAAATATAATAATTATCATTTATAAAGCTAACTGAAATTGGATAAATTATGTGATTTTTATATGATTTTATGATATATGATAATATAATCATATAACTTATAACTTTATGATTTAAAAATTTTTGAATGACTATGTTATATACTAACACTGATAAAATAAATTAATATTAATATAATTTTTTTTAAAATTCGAAAATATTTAATTATAACTTTTTATTTTAAGATTTAATTTTCTTTAATTTAAAGATTTTAAAACTTACAAAAATGTATACATTAGTTTTCTTTTGTAATTTTTTCAAAAACTCTTTATATTCTCTTTCTATAAAATTTATTTTTAACTTCAAGGATTTAAATTAGTTTATAATATAAATTATTATTAATATTTTTGTTTTAATTTTAAAAAAATTTTTAATTCAAAAATTTTTTATAGAAGGTTATCAAAAACAAAAATTTTCATATATCATTTTCTATAATAAATTACTCAATATATATTATAAATATAATTTTAAAGTATATTGATATTATATAAGATTTTCATATAATTTATTTTTTAAACATTATCACTATAGAATTCTTTTAACTTAAATTAACTATATTTTTAATTTTTTATTTGAAATTGCTAAGTTTAATTAAAATATTAAGATCTGTCTAACTTTTAACTTTATTAATCTATATGCTAAACTTAACAGTTCTATCAAGTATGAAAATTTGAAATATGATATTACAAACAAATTTAATTAAAGAATTTAGATGATGAACTCAATTACAAATAATATGTAAAGATTATGTCAGACTATATAAAAATATGAAGAGACAGAAAAATATAAGTTTTAATTAATTCCTTTATTAATATTGAAATCCAAATTTGCAAAAGAGTTAATTTATAATATAAATAAAAGTCTATCTATTTATACAAAATTTCTTTTATTACAATTAATTAATTATTACACTATAAATTAACTATTTTGGTAGATAAAATAAAGTAAACTAAATAAATTAAAATAATAAAAATAATAAAAATATATAATAAAATAAAAATAATAATAAAAAGTAAAATATTAAGAATAAGTATTAAATCAAATATTCTAAAATTTTATTTAATTTATAAATTAAGATTATTATTAATATTTGAAAGATTACAGAATTACATAAATTCTTTATATTTTAGAATTTGCAAAATTCTTAGTATTTTAGAATTTTAAATCAAGATATCATTATATTTTATCATTTATGTGAATTTATTATTATTAGTCAATTATTTCACTAATAATATAGTAATATAATATTTTATTATATAAAATAATTTCAGTAGAAAATTTCAAAATATGTATAATTTTAGAAAAAATAAAAACTATTATCTAATACTCTTTATTAATAAAACTAATTATTATTAAATTAACTAATTATTTTATCTGATTTTAATAATAAAGATTTACTGAGTAATTTTTATTACTAAATTAAATAAAAAAAAGTTTAAAATTATTAGTTATCACTAATTTAAAAAGAAACTAATAGCATTATATTTATAAGAATTATTAAAGAGAGAAATATAATTTATAATATTATTATTATAACTAAAAAAAGTTAAAAAACTATTTATAGAATTAAATATTAAAAGAAGCAAAGTTATTTTTTTGATGATAGTGATATATAGAGATATTTTTTGTTAAATATTAATTTATATTTAGTTTTTTATATTATGCAAATTTAATCTTAGTAATTAAATATTATAAAAGGATTTAGAATATTATTAACTTCATTAAAAAATTAGTTTTTGAAATTTGGATAAAAATTTATTATTTTAGATTTATAATAAAAATTAGTAATAATTGATTTTAAAGTAGATCTAATATATCTAAGAAGTCAGATAAAATAAATTTAAAAGTAAAAATCTAATTTACTTATAAATATTAATATTTGATATTTTATTGAGATATAAAATAATAAATTTTTTTATAATGAATTTGATATAATATAATAAATTATTAATATAATTTAGATTTTAATATATAGAAAAATTTTGTTATATAAAATTATACTAGATAAATGCTGTATAATGTTATTTATATAAATAATTCTTTTTATAATAAATTTATTTATAATGAATTTTTTTAAATTAATTTAACTATAAAGAATAATTTAATATTTATTTTTTCTTAAATATAATAAATTTATTATATATTCTTTAATATTAAATAAATTAATAAAAATGGATTTTTATATTTTGTATTTATAACTTATATTTCATTTTACCTTTTCATTACATAATTTTTTAAATACTATAAATAAAGTCAACCTCAATTATATCTGAAACCCTTAAAAAATATAAATCTCTTATTTTTGATTATGATAAAAGTAAAGATCATAAAGATTTAAAATTATATTAATATAGAATAATGGACTTAATTTCTTTATGATATCTAAAAATAAATTGTTGAGAAAACATAATCTGCAAAGAAAAAAACTCTCCAACAAAACATACCTTCATAATTTTTTTGAACATCGTTATCTATATGGATCCTTTCATTTACTACATAGTAGTTAAAAAGCAAGGACAAAATATAAAAAATGTAATAAGAAACACAATTCTAATAGTATAATATAGTCGAATATATAGATAAATAAATAAACGAAATGGTATTTTTTTTATGCAATTTGTTCATTACCTTTTACTTTATTAAATTCACGTAATACATCTCCCTACTTCAACAGCTCATCTTCCTATTTCTTTTTGACTCTTTCAGCCCTTCCATTTCTTTTATCAATCTACGCCTATAACTCCTTCAATTCTTCTCTATTCCCCATTCTTTTCTCTCTAACTTATCCTCCAACTTGTTCAAATTCTCCGTTGCCCCCTTCAACATCTCTATTGCCTTTTTAAACGTCTCTTTTGCGTCATTATACTTTTGTTCGTATGTCGCCATTTTTAATTTTTTTAAAAAAAAATTTTTTTTTTTACACTTAATTACATAATTATATGTCCTTAGATGATTGATTGTTGATACGAACAGTGGTCAGTCAAAACGATCCACCAAAAATCAGTGTTCACCCAGATCAGATTTTATAATAGGCAGACACGTCTACACAAGAATATAGCTATTAAATTTTTACTATGTCTAATCCGAAATCTACTTTTCGTCAAATTCCTCCTAGATCACAAGAACTTGTACAAGATTCTGGTGTTATAGCTGTGGTAACTATTCCTCTGCCAGAGATTCAAAAAATAACGGCGCTAACATCTGCAAAGTCTCTAAAAAGGATAATGGTCAAAAAACAAAGGAAGAAATAGGATGGGATGATTCAAATATAGGATTAATGTTAAGTATAACGTGTAAAAGTGAATTATATTTATTACAGATAATATAATCGATCCGGTCAATCAAAAATTGTGCTCAATTGCAACTACGATCTGATTTTGCTATAAATTTTTCGGTCAATCTTGATCTGATCTAAAATTGAATAGGGCTATTGTCAAGGTATATAGAGATCTTACCATAATACGTATATGAGGTGAAATAATTACAATTCGTTGGTAATTAATAAAAATAACTATGATAATTAGTATCAGAAAAAATTTTTAGATGCAAAATAATTTTTTGGTTGTTTTCAAATTCTCTTTAAAATTAATTATCCATTATGAAAATAAAAATTATGAGGCATGTTTTTTGGCATAGTGAACACAGTACGATGATTCGTTCCCTATCTGAACACGCATAGACTAGTTATTCAGCTTTACAGCCAGCAAGGTATACTTGGCAACCTCTCTGCTTTACTTTTGGAAGTAGTTTAGCAGTAGATTTGTTATTATTTCTATCACCAGTTTTACAGTGTTATTGTGTATGTTGTATAACGATAACAGAACGTAATGGTATACAAAGGTAGTATTTTTATTGAAATCTCAAAAAGCCAAAATCTCGAAATACTAAATCCCGAAAGGTCTAAAATCTCGAATTCCAAAATCCTGAATGGTCATAAGGATTACTTTGGATTAGTATGTCGCGAGTGAGTTATGAGAAATTACTTTGAATTAGCAATATATGTCGCGGGTGAGACTTAGGTTATCTGAAAATAATCTTGCTTGAAATTTTTTTCATTTATTTGTATAAGCAAAACTCCCTCCGATTGAAAATTTTTTCATTTATTGTATAAGTAAATATAAAACCATTAATAAGATGAATTGCGATTTTAAGGGCTTTGTAATGAAAAATTTTTAATAAAAATTTTGGTAATGTCATGCCGTAGATGCCTTAATCAGAAAAACAAGCTTAGTTATACATGGAAAATTTTTAAAGGAAAATTCGGGATTTTTTACCATTCGAGATTTTGGATTTCGAGATTTTGGACAGCACCCTTATTTAGCGATATTGGGACAAGTTTGCTATTTGATAAATATAACTTTTTTTAGGCGAAATTTTCAGTTGCACTCATCAAGATATTTTTTTTCGTCATTAATTTATTATATTTACTGCTCCAGTTACTATAATTGATTTACCAAATATTTGCTTTTAGATTCTTATTATCTGCGACAATATTTGAAATATTTTCTATAAATTAAAAAAAAAATTTTTTTTGATGTTTTAGGATTTTATTGCCGCGCCAACTATTGGATTTTTTAGCTCATTAAGAGAAAGGCATATAAATGATGATATATGGTGAGAAGGTGTTCTTTAATTTAAATTTGTTTGCTAAGCGTTTTTAGCTATATTATTCATTTCTTTATTTTAGTATACTACGGTATTATGTATACAGCACGCGGACACCATTCCTCCGCTCTTAGTAATTAAACTTAAACTCGTTGTGAAATGATTAAATAGATGGGCGTTTAATAATTTCTTTAATCTATAAAGCTAAGGATGTTCGTATTATCGTGTACGGGGGGGGGGGGATTTACATACATCAAATAGTTATATATATACCATTGCTATCATTATTCTTATGAGGATTATGAATTGAGTTATCAATGGAAGGATTATGAAAGCTTTTGCCTTTTGCTTTTCCTTTGATCTGAATCATCATCAATTTAACGATCACGCTTATTTTGAAATTTATAAGTTCGTATTTTCAGTAACTTTTGCATCATACAATAAAATTCATATATGAATATATTTTAAAATTAAATATGATCTCGAAATATATTGAATATTGAAATCATTTTAACATTTTTTTTTTATTATTATTAAAAAGTACAATCTGATCATGAGATGAAGTCAGGTTTTGGAGGCAGAAAGAAAAGGAAAAAAAAAAAAAAAAAAAAAAAAAACTAATTATTTTTAATCGAAAAATCCTAATCGTTTGATTAAATATTTTACAGTCCATTCCGAATATTTTATTTCATATTAATGGAGCTTAGTAATTTTACACAAATAATCCGTCATGAGCCGTCTTAATTTATTTATAACTTCAAGTCATAATTGCTGATTTGATGAGTTAACGCCCTTTTTACCAAGAAATTTACTGCAAAACTTCAATTCCTTTATCATTAAAAACCGATTTTGTCAGGTTCTTTCTTTTGTATTTTTGTATTTAGTTCTTTCATTTATGTATTTATAAACAATTTCAAATGTAAGCGGAAGGTTTTTATTGAGTAAAATGAAGTAATGTTGACGCTAAATTTATTTAATAATATCAAATTAATCAGTGTTGCCTCAACCCACTTTCGCAATGTCAATATATTAAACTAAATAAATGCCAATCACTAATATTCTTAATTAATTAAGACCTACGCAAATAATAAAAATTGAGTAATAAAATAATAAATCGGTAATTAACGAACTTTAGGTTTTTAAGGTATATATATGAAAATATAAGAAAGGCGGGTGATCGTGGAATGTTAAGTTATTTATATTTATAAAAAAAAAATAATTATAAGACCTGTGACAACCTGTCAAATGATCTTCAAAGGACTATCGAAAACAATTTACATACGAAATTATGGGTGTTTCCGGGCAAAATTATATTCAATGTAACAGTATTACGAAAAGCTTTTTTTCAGACCGAAAAATTGTCTGATCTTACATAAATGCAACATTGGCTAATTTTGCCTGAGAGAAATAGGTAAAGCATATGGGCAGAATTCCAATATACGTGACAATTTTTTCGGTAATACGTCAAAAAGTGAGGTAAAAATATATTGCTTTATTATGTATTCGCTATAATTACATTTTCAAAAAGAAAATCTTATCCCAACATGGAAATAGTTTACATACGTAATTTGGAATGCGCCTCTGCGGAATAAAATCTACTTAGAAAAACTTCTTTCAAATAATGAATAATAAATAAATAAATTCATACAAAATTGCATTAATATGTACTATATAAATAACTGATATTAAGATAAGCAACATGGCCGCAATTCAATAAATTTTGCTATTGAGGTTATGGAGATGTGATGTTAAAATGATTCATAGATGTCATCAATGGTTAATAAGAGAAAATATCGAAAAGTCATTAATGTAGATTCTATTATATTACCTTATAATTTTCACATTTCATCATGATAATTAGTAGGTGATCTGTGAAATATAACTGTTGTTGTTGGTTCTCCTTTATATGGTCTGAAGATTTGTGTGATGGTTTTAGCATATTCATAATTGTCACAAGCTACAATATAGACTCTACCATCACTTTTTTTAACAAATTTCTCCATTCCTTTCATATCGTTATTCATTTTACGAGAACATGACATACAATTTTCACAATTTCCAGGTCTACCTAACATATCTGCAATCCCATGACATTGTTCATCTCCTTTTCGAACACATTTACAAGATGGTTTTATTTTTTCACCTTTTTTAACAAATTTTTTCCTTTCAATTTTAAAAAAACAATTTCTTGACGAAATAGTATGTTTATATTTCACATTATATTCTTTCTGGTTAAGACAATTATTTTTTGAAGGACATGTTTTTTTGTAATGATCATTCTTTTTTCCTCTGCTTTTAACTAAATTCTGTTTTTTCGAAGGACGATTATCTTTGGAATGACACGTTCTAATATTATGCCCATTTTTTTCACAACAACTGCACTTGCTTTTAACTAATGGAATACAAACAAAAATCACTAAAAACAAACAAAAAGGAAAGAAAACTCGTGAAATAATCATTTTTTTTTTACAGTTACAATGCTAAAGAGAAAATCTGGATTTGTTTTGAATGGCTTTTATATATTAAAACGTTACACTGACTAGTTACAAAATGCTAATATGATAATTTGAATCTTGTGTTTAAAATAAATTTGTGCTGATTAAAGATCATGCTCTGAACTGGTTAGTACCTACACATAATAAAAGGCGCTGTGCTAATTCCTGATTGTTAATACTGATCTACCATCGTGATATCTAGGTCTATCCTAAGGTTAGAGGTTGGGTTCGATTCCCAAGTTGTTTGACAGCTTGGTTCATATTCTAGAACCTGGACAAAGACTTTATATGAAATATTGGATGAAACGTATTGTTACCATAGGTAACTTCCTCATCATTAGTTTCGTCCTCAGAGCAGATTTCGTTTCAAAAAATTCTGAATCATAATACTCACTGAAAACACAAGTTCCTATATCCGTATTGTGTTTGAAAACTTGATTATTATAACTTTTTCATTTGAATCAATTGCAGTAAATTCAGGAAATAATAATTCATAGATTGTATAATGAAGAATGAAATATATGAATGTATTTATCAAATAATACCACAGTTTAAAGATGGTCTCCATAATTATTTTCAAATTTCAATTAAGTTGCAACTTAATTGCGCTATAAGGAAATTTAATTGCATTACAAGTTGTAACTCAATTGCGTTATTTTTTTTAATTGCGATGACCATCTTTACTACATTTCCTCTTGTTTTATTTTTCAACATCTTGGATCCCATCTATCAAAACTGTTTCTAAACTCCATTAACCATTTATATCTTAAATTAAATCATATTCAAGATTGTCAATAATGTAAAAATTTTAATATGATATTTCAAAAATAGAAATGGTTTCAAATCAAAGATATTGGATAAAGAAATAAAAAGATTTTATCATCAACCTGCTCGTTTTTTATTATCATTTACTTGCCATATTATATCCATACCAAGTATAACTCTTACATCCTCCTATACTAGAAATATATAAATTCATTTTTAACAAGTGCTTTACTGATACTGTTAGGCTTAGATTTATTTTGGATCAATTAAAGTTTTAACAGTTATATTACTATTAATAAATGTATAATCTAACTATTAATCTTCTGCAAACTTCTCAAATTATTTCATTTTTCATATATTATTTATATTATTTATACTATAATATTCAAAAAAAGATTTGATAACTTGCGGTTAAATGTAATAGTATGATAGAAAAAAAGTGTAAGTATTTTAATATTATTAATCTCTAAAAAAGAATTTTGATTGATATTAAAATTAAAGTTTTTTATTCTGAAAATGCTCTGTATATAGGCAGTATTATAGCAAAAGAGGGTGATAGGCTGGCTGATCTAATTTTGAGATTTTAACTTACCTAGCGTCATCTAGAAAAAATGGTAACCAGATAGTTTTGCTGGATAATACATAATTTTGAATACTAATCTTTGAAAATTATATTTATAAAAATCACTGACGTAAACAAATCAATATAATTATTTTCATATTGAATAAAGTTAATTTATTTTCTCACACTTTTTTTTCCTCTTTTTTTATAATTTTTTTTACAAATAATTACTTTTTTATTAAATGCGTAATATAACATTTACTAAATATAATAAAAAATCACAAAGTTTTCTTATTACATTTCCTTTTACTATGTCACGATGTCAAACTAACAAAATAAAATTTGTAAAGGATATCATGTTCGTTAAAGCTATAAAATTTTCTGAATGAGAAAGGTATTACTTTGAAAAAAATGTTTACACTGCTGAGATAAACTTAAAATTTCTCACTTGAAAAAAAATATTAAAAAATCTGACATAATAATTAAATATTCAGATATTACTAAAATTGTATATAATCATTTAATTTCTCTAAATGATATTAATGAATATTATGAAAGGAAAAATATGAAGTTATATCTTGATTTCGATATTTAATTATCATCTTTTTTTGACTTTATTTTAGAAAAAAATGAATTAAATAAAAAAAATTTTAAAATTGAAGTTAGCAATTACGTAATAACATTGATTTTAGAAGGTAATGGATATTCATAAGTTTATCAGAATAAAAATCAAAAAAAAAACTCTTTTCATATATTATATTATTGCAATTGTCAAATTGAATTTGGAAAACAGCAAGTAAAGCATTTCATAGCGGATTAACAAAAAGATATATCTATCTATTTAGAATGATATCATTGTATTGGAATAATAAATATAGAAATATTATTACAATTGGGCTTAATCAAAGTTAAATATTCTTATAAAATGTTACATTCATAACCAAAACATGTTAATATAACATATAAAATTAAAAATTTATTCAAGATAATCTCAATTGTTCTGTTTCAGATATTTAGCGCATACTGCCATAATATCAATCTTTTATTATCAGCAAAATATTTGTTAGAAGAGTTTAACCAAGAAATTATAGTAAATAATCTTAATACTTTTACACTTACTCTTAGATTTTAACAGAATTATTTTACAAATTGTTTTGCCATAATTTTGAAGCAATTGAAATCGATACAACTTATGATACTAATAATTTAACATAGGAATTATATGCAATTATGAGTGTAATAGATAGTATTAGATTTCCTCTTAGCTATCTTATAATTTCAGTTGGGAAAAATTGAAATATAATAGAGATTCTTATTCAGTAGATGTAAGCTTTAAAAGAATGAAATCCGAAAAACTTTCCTTTTATTTTAACTGATAAAGATTTTGCAGAAATTAATGTAACACAAACAGTATGATCTGAAGCACATTTACAATTATGTATCTAGCATTTAAGATAGGCTATTAAGCAACATTTATTATCTAATAAAATTAATGCATACTATTCTTATAATCCAAAAGCTATACATGAAGAATGTTCAACAATAGATTCTAGTTAGGGAATTGTAAATAATTTCAATTCAGTATTTTGCCTTTTAAATTTATGAGAATCTGTAATTAAACTTGTTGAAAATTATTTAAATCGTCATATGTTATTGTCAAAATATAATGATACCTTTATTACAAATGCAAATAAAATTTGAAAAGAATGTGTCAAAGAAATTATAGAATTTTGCAAAGAAAATGAATTACTCTGATTATGAATTTACCTATGGAAAGAATGGTATTCAAAAGAAAAGTGAAATTTATAGACAAAAGTGGTTAATAAAAATATTAGCAATATTAAAACTACAATGAATGTTAAATCACATTGGTGACATATTAAACATGACCATTTATATAAGTTTCACAAATTCCAAGTTAATCATTTATGTTTTATTCTTGTTAAAAAAGTGATTAGCTAGCAATTATATCGAATTTAATTACTTCAGTAAGGTTATTATTCAGTACTATAGTAGAAGAAGTTTAAAAAAGAATGGAAGCAATATAAAAAAAAATTACAGAAATAAATAGCAAATATTTTACAGATCTAACAAAGTGGATATATGCATGTCCTGCATATATTCAAAGCCATTTTTTTTGTGTAAACATCTAGTTAATTCTGTTAAAAATGTTGATGTAATATTCTTTTAAAAAGTAAATAACAATTTGTTTTAAGTTTGATATTTGTATTCATTTTTTAATTAATAATGTTTCTAATTAAATATATAAAGAAATGCAAATTATCTATTAATTTCATTTTATGAAGGTGAACTAGTTAATGTATTTGGTTTGAAAGCTTTTTAAAATTATAAAATTTCAAATATTTTATTAATCTAAAATTTAATTGTCAAGAATGAAGATAATTATATTATTGAAAGTAATGATGATAAAGAACAACAAATATATAAAACTGATTTTGCTTATTTATACAAAGTATTAAATAAGATAATTAAATTTTATATATAAATACATTTTTAGTCTTTATTATGAATTTTTTAGGTCAAAGAATTGTTAAAAGAATCATATAATAAATCAAAATAACATCTATAGTTAAAAAATATTTGCAAAAATTTCAGATTATTGGAAAAGATAAATAATGATATTTTAGCACTAGAAAATCATTGAATAATGCCAAAAACATGAAACAACTTTAACAAAAATATAATTTATTAGAAATAAATAAAATAAATAATGACAATAAATAAAATTTTGTGATTTTCTTAAAAACTTAATATTTTTATTTATTTATTTAGTTATTTATCAAAGTATTTTACTAATAATAAAATTAGAATAAATTAACTGAAAATCAGTTTCTAAAATCACGTATTACCTAGCAAAACTATTCAGCTATCATTTTTCTAATGATATTAGGATGATTTTAAGATTTTATAATTATCATATGATTATCAATTTAACCTATTTAAGAATAACTTTTTCTGATCATAATATAATGGAAATGAGAAATCTATCTTCTCCAGTTCATAGGAAGACTTTCATGTGATTGGCTGATAAGATTACATGAATTTTATAATAGATATTCTAATTATTTATATATGACATATAATATTATTATACATAATATTAAATTGTATAAACTATTTAAACTATAATTAAAAGTTAAAATTTAATTTTAAACTTAAGTTTAAAGTTTATGTATTATTGAATATAAGCTATATTAAAGTTTCTGATATTAATTTAAAATTAATATACTTATAAACTCTGAAAAAAATTGAACTACGTCATAATATATTGTAACTGCGCCATTTGATGATAATTTCAAAGAATCTAATTTCATTTTTATATTAAAATAATTAAAATAAAAATAGTTTTTAGTTTAGCAATTTATTTTTATAATATTTATAATTAACAATTTTGTATAATTTTAATTTTTTAGACTAATTAGACTAATGTAAAATCAGAAAATTATTGAGTTAAATAAAGCTAGATTACTGATTAATTAAAATTAAAATTCTTATTTATTATTTATAAATATTATTATGATTGAAATTTTTACAATGCTTCTTCTAATGTAAATATCATACATCTTACAGGTTCATTTTCATCATTACAAAGAATATTATCATTATCCTTTTTAACTTTTATTTTGTCAAATTGTTACAATCGTGGTAGCAGGGACTAGACATTTTCATCAATGCCATCTTGTAAAAATGAGAAGCAATATGAATACTTAAATCTATTATTATCATAACAAACTTTATGATATATATGGCTGCAAGATAAAACTACAATTAGACCTATATGAATAGATGAAGAAATAGAACAATTAGTAGTATTATAATAATAAAATAGATTTGGCTTATGCGAAGTACTGAAATCTAAAGGAAGATAACATAATTTTGCTTCTGACATTTTCATTGCAGCTAAAATTATAATATCATTATTAGATTTCTTTTCTTTTTTAAAGATAAATTCGTAGTAACAGTCTGTAATAGAAATATTAAAGATATTTTATCGTTAAAAAAGTGTACATAAATATTTAAAAAACATTGTAATAAAAAGCATGCACTCATTTTTGTTAAATTATAATATCTCGTGTAGAATATTCATATGCTACCCATGTTGATGTATGTGCAAAGTTCTCTCTGAAACCATTATCATCTAGGCGTAATTGGTTAATATAACACTCATATTTGATAATCTATTGTACTTTTATATGTTTCTGTGTATCTCTACGCAAGAAACTATGAAAAATCTCAACAGTTACATCTGAAAATTTTGGAAGTTCAGCCTTAATGATCTTTAGGATTGGATGATTATTTGACTCCTAATAAAAAATATCAGACAAAAACATTAATGATACTTTATTATAGTTTTTACATTAAAATCTAAGAAATATTGTTCAAATCTGAAAATAAGATTTCAAATAAGCATTAAAATCGCTAAACTGAAAAAAAAATAGTATAAACATCTAGAATCAAAGGAATTATATTATCAAGAAGATTCTTCAATGTGAGGTATTCAGCATCTTTGCATAAGAATCCAAATTTTTCTTCAACTACTTTAGAAATTTTCTGCCAAGCATTACGAGAAATCTCTAAAAGTAGATTAATATGCTATGGTTTAGATTTTTGTGTAAGAGACCTTTATTCTC